TCAATCATGGTCATAAGTCGAGGACTACCTGTACTTTACAAACAGAAAGGTATCACCTGTGTCAACCCCCCCCCCAAAAAAAAACTACAGTAGTAATATCACAATACAAAGTTCTGATGCATTTTTAAAAACAGAGCAACATGGCGTCACTGCAATGGAAGCTCTGCCCTCCATTCTCGCATATATGGGAGTGGATCTCTCTGTGTGATGAGGCTTTCATCATTTGCTAATGTCCTTGGGATGCCTCTGTTGTTGCACCTGAAAGATTGCTTTTAGGTTTTGTTGGTTTGAAGGAACTGCACATGCATTAGCCACTGTTCTGACCCATGCCCTTTCCCGACAAATCAAACACAAATACAAAAGGAACAAAAACCTTGTAATGCTTTTACAAAATAATTAGCTAAGTACAAGCCTTGCCAAAAGATAACAGACTAGAAATAATTTGCAATACAAACTCAGGATACTAGATTGTCCACGAAGCTGTAGTTTCAAAACGTCTTTGCCTTCTGCAAAGGTTTGTTTCCCAGCTGGCTTTTTTCTTCTTGAGGGAGGGGTCATTACCTTGCAGCCTTACTCCCAAGTCGCCTGTGCTGTTGTAACTGCTCTTTCCTACAAGCAGCCCTGTGCGCAAGTGCACTTGGCTCAGGCTCCTCGGGAACCTCCTCATCGCTGCTGCCAGCCCCCACAATCTCTGAAGGCAGCAGTCCACTTCTTAATGGTCCTGGCCCCTCATCTGAGTCCTCGCTCTCCTCAGCCATCTGCACCTGCTGCCGGCTAACCACAACAGCCACCTAATTGTAACTGTCATGTCTCCTTCCCAGGTACCGCTTCAAATGCCCTTCGACAGCCATATATCTGGTTGACCATAATACTGTCTGTCACTCTCTGTTTGCTGCCCATCATTGCCCTCCGGTTCTTGATGATGACCATCTGGCCTACAAAAAGTGAAAAGGTATGTAGGAGATTCTGGTTATTAATCCAAGTTACCAACGAGTTGAAGAAGAGCTGGTTAGGTTTTTTTTTGTACAATCATGAATCATGAGTTGTGTTTGGTGCGGTGGCCTAGAGGTGGAGCTCTCGCCTCACAATCAAGAGGCTGTGAGTTCGATCCTAGGTAGCGGCAGGTATATTCTCTCTCTGGGCACAATGAGTAAATATCAGCTGCGAACTCTGTGCTGGAGACAGGAAGGGCATCCGGCCAGTAAACACCCAGCTCTGACTCCACCCCGATGCAAGAGATTACGGGATCATTAAAAGACAAAAAAAAAAAAAAAATCCTGAGTTGTGATAGTCTTAAAATGGGTCACCCATATGACCACCCAATTTTGCAACCTTTTTTTTTTTAAGCAAATTTTATTAATTTCAAAGACAAACAAATCATCATCAACCATTACATATTTGAACCTTTTTTCATTATAAATTTTACAAGTCAGATAAAACCTTATTTTATACAATACAATTCTATTTTAAGCCATTTCCATATGAGCATAAAAATACCTCTTATCCAATTTCTCTTTACTTCTCTTTACTCTTATTCAATTTCACTATTATTATTTCATCTATTTCTTTCTGACTTGATTACCATTATTCTCATTCTCTATTTCTACAAGGTTTTATTAATACTCTCAAAAACATAAACACACAACAAACAAACATATAAAAAATCTTTTAGGAAAGTAACTTGGCCCCAGGTACCTCTCTTTATATGGGCTTCAATTATATTCATGCTCATCTTACATATCATTACCTATTTTGTTTACCATCCTATATCTTCTATATAAACTTCTCCACACATTTCACTCTTCATAATTCTATCTTATTTAATCCATCTTCATTTAAATCATTATATTTGTATCTTTTGCCCATTCTTTATTATCCCTCTATCTCATTCCTTATAAAAAAAAATAATAATTTCTCCTGAAGTCACTAATCAGAGTATGATGCCTTTCTATCCTCCCCCTAAGTTAATTAGATTAACATTTAAAATAACACCTAATACCCAATCTGATTCTGCTTGGTACATTCTATCTACTAATTTTTTTCTTTTAATAACAATAAAAACAAAGTGATAAATCCAAAATGATTAAATACATAGTTAAATAATAAATCTAAATATTAAATCTTATAACATTCCCATTGCCTTTCCCTTTAATATTTTATTACATTTTAAAATCAATCATTGTTAAACATTTCAACATTTTAATTTCTTATTAACTCTTAAGCCATTCTAATTTTCTATTTCTAATACAGATGTTACAATACCATCTTATGTACCTTGCAAAATCTTTTTTAAGAAAATTGTACTTTACCCTTTGTCCCTAAAAAAAATTCCTCTTTTCCCATCTAATTTCAAAACTTTGTGGCTTTTCTCCGCCTTTCCCCTTTCTTTCTTCCCCCACCAAATCTTCCTACCCCCCCTTCTTCTAGCCTCTGCCTTGCTGGCATCCCTTCTCTGTTGTGTTCCCTTTTTCTTTTGTTTACTATCATTATATTTATTTTGCATCTTATTTTTCTCTTTCTTAAATGTTTTTTTAGATCTTAAGTCCTTCATTTTCCTCGCTTTCTTCCTTCCTTCTTTCTTAGTTAAATTTTGGAATTCATTAAAGATGGCGTCTTCATCTTCTTCTTCTTGTTGTTCTTCTGCCTCCATCTGTTGTATTGTTTGTTGATAGTTAACCAGCGCCATTTCTAAAAATAGGAAGGCTTTTTCCATACCATCTTTACCGGCTGCTTTTGTTTGCTCATATTCTTCCCTCAGTTCCTCAAAAGAAAAAGCCATTATAGATCTTTTCTTTTTTTTTCTTTTTTCCCCTCTTTCTTCTTACACCAACCAAGATATTTCAAAAAAAAGTAAAACAATCCCAAAATCCACAATCCTCAATCAATCCAAGCCAAGACAAAATTCTCCCTTTCTCTTCCAGGGGTAGTATCAGACAAAAGAAAAAAGAAAGCCCAAATCTGTATTTTGAAGCCTTATTGGAGTTCTATTTCTGTCTTCAAATCCTTAAGGCATCTCCTCCAACAAAATCAAACCAGATGAATATATTTTTTGTCCTCTCCCTTCCGACTTATCCCATAAAGCTAGTTTTACCTGAAAAAAACAGGTTTCTCAATGTCCACTTATTAATTCCGTCGGGAAGGAGAGTAAACTTTCCTTTCAGCACCACCAAAGTGCCGCTTTTTTCCTCTTTTAGAAGGTATCATTCAGAAAGTCATAATTTTCAGGAGTTTTGTTAAATATGTCTTAGAGTCCTGGGAACCAAGAAAAACTTTCTCTTTTCAAATACTTTCTCCACTTCCTCCTGCGCATTCTTACCCGGCTGCCAGCTTCTTTGTGGCGGCCATTGCGGACCGCCGCTGCACCGTCTTGGGAAAAGGGGATTCTGCCGGCCAGGGAGGGGGTCTGCAACACCCCCAAACCCCTCTCCGGATCCCCCCTATCTTCAGCTGCCCCTGCAGGGCAGCCTAGCTCCGGACCCGTCCGGATCGGAGCACCAAAAGCGGCTAGCGCAGCAGGGATCGCGCAGCTTCGCGAATCCCTGCCGCTCGCGAAGCTGACAAACCGGAAGTCCCCGCAACCTTTTTTTTTTTTTTAATGGTCATCAAGCAAACCTATTAATCACTATCTCCCAGTTTTGCCAAAAACCAGAAGTAAATGTTGGTTTGGGGCAAAACCAACATAAAATGCAGTCACATGGCTCAAAGGGCCATAAATGAGAACTAATTGCTGAGCATTGGAGGGGGTGGCCATCAGAACTGCAGAACTGGTCATAGGTACCCATTGTGGGGGCTCCATCATAACTTTGAATGGTTATTAAGGAATTAGTGATAAATTGAGGTCCACCTGTATTTAGAATAATGGGAAGAAGCCTGAACTGTGGGACCCTCCATTTGTCTATGATTCCTCCAGCACTTCAGCCATGGGTAGGAGTGCAGGAATTTCCACACCCAAGTTTGATTGAGCATTTGCTATATTGTCTATACTTGAAAATTTATGGCTCCAACAGTCAGTCAGAGGGGGATTTTTTTTTTTAAAAAAAAAAAATTCTTTAAAAAAAAAATCCCTCCTAGTGCTCCAAAAATCCCAGGAGGCTTAGAGGTTGAATCTTCTCTAATAACTGCTACTGAACTTCTTTCTGCCTCTTAATCTGTTCTACAATTGTCTCCTTTAAAGATTCGGAAGAATCGCAAAAAGTACAAGGCCGTAGAGGAGAAGTGGAAGCGAAGGCAGAGCGTTCTCCGTCGCGGGGTAACTGGTCGTCGTTCCGCGTATGCCTTCTCCCACCAGCGAGGTTACGCTGACCTCATCGCTTCTGGGCGTATCATCCGTCGTAGGCGAGCTTCCCTAACGGCAGTTCTGGGCAACAATTTGGCCGAAATTAGGCGAGCTGAAGAAAACAGTTGATGACTTGCCCAATCCCATAGAAAACAGAGGAAGGATAGCACAAAAAGTTTTATTTTTTTTTACAAAGGACGGTGGCTTCTTTTTCTTTTTTTGAAAAACGCGTGCAGGATTATGAAGGGAGTCTAATTATTTTTCCCCCCAATTGCTATGTTCGGGACTAAAATTGGACAGACCGAATGGCTGAGTATTTTTAATTCTCCGTCCTTGCATAAACATTGCTTTTATTTGGAACTGAGGGATATCCTTATGCCTTGGACTTCAAGCCCAACAATTTTAAGGTGTTTTTAAACAGTAGTGGTTTTTTTTTTAAAAAAAGAAAAACAATTCCAACAGAGGTTTTATGCCTCAGCACCAAAGACGAACCACTCCGCAGCAACATGATTCTGAGTGCCATTTCATTCTGTTAATTTATTCTACCATCATATCATTCTTCTTTGGCAGCCTAAGAATGCTTTTTTTTGCATCTTTTGTACATTTTTATGCTGTAAGCATTTAGAGCATAATGCACTATCCAACAAAGTTGTACTGGTTGATCGGAGCTGCATGCTCTTAGTAATGTTCAGACATTTGGGTAGCGAAAGTTCAACAGGCTTTCAGGTTTGTAATTAAAGGTGTCTTCCCCAGAAGTTCCTTAAGGAAACAATAGCTTGTTGTATATTTTCAGGAAAACAACAGCTTGTACTTTGGGCATTGTGGGGGGTCTCCCCTCTCTAAACATGTAGCAGCTTTGTATCAGCAAGAATGAATGTGCCTTTCCAGTAATGTATTTTATACCCGGCCTTTTCACCTTTATTACAAATCTTACTGTATTATTTGTATTGGTTTGAGAAATAGGAAAGACAGAGTCAATCTGTGGAGATTTTCCTTTTGGATATGTTGGTTGATTTCATCCTTGGGTTGTTCTTGGTCAGGGGAAATGGCCACCTAGCCCATTAAACAACAGGAGGTGATTCTTATATAGCACTGTCTTTTATGTTGGAATGAGTTGTGTGAAGGAATAATATCTGAGCAGCATCATGCTTGAAGATGACAATGCCAATTTCACCACATTTGAAAGAAAGAGCATAATGCATTATTCAACAAAAGTTATACTGGTCAATCAGGGCTGCATGCTTTTAATAATGCTCAGCCATTTGGGCACAGAAAGTTCATGTTCGAAATCAAAAGCATCTTCACCAGAGGGAGTGATACGCCTTGTTTTGTGGGAACGAGAGGCACAATTTGAAGCATCACCTGGAGCAAGAGAATAATTTTCATTTAAGATAAATCTACTACATGATTTTTTTTAATAGTAAAGAGGACGATGTTCTTTTTAAAAATGTATTCATTCATTTCAATGTGTTGGGACTTAAAAATGGTTTACATTTCAATACTCTTAGCATGCACCAAATGACCCTGTTTCAATATTCACAACTGTTCCTCAGATTTGTGTAGATGGATGAACAGAACTCATCCCTAAGGAACATGGACTTGGTACATTCCTTCATTTTTACTATTGAATGTTGAAAGGTTTACAGCTTTTTGGTAAAAGACAGCAGATTTTATTTTGATTCAAAAATTGATTTTTCTATTCAGAAATGAGGACGAGGTTAGTCTTTATCTTTCAGACGTTTAATCTAAGTGCAATATTTGCAACTTTTAATACATTGATTGTACACGTGTATCTCAATTATAAAATGTAAATATTTTATTTCTTAAAGCATTATGTATATATAAGTAAAGTGCCTTTTAATCTTTTTATCTGGTGTGAAAGAAAGTATTTTCATTGCTTTGAATGTTTTTATTAAAGTGTCCTTGGTATTGTAAGTATGCACACATGTAACATTTGCTGATTCTTATAGAATTGGGGGCAGTAAAAGAGGAATCCTTCAGAGGTGGGATGCTACGGGTTTGGCCTGGTTGTATAGAACCTGTAGCTGCGAAGAGTAGCTGACACCGAACCGGTTTGGTGTTCGGCCCACCCGCCTGCCTGGGCTCTAGGCTGTCCTTTATTCCCTGCTTTTCCCTCCTCAGCTGCTTTGCGCGGCATAGCTGAGGTTGAAAAAGCAGGAAAAGACGATTTTCAAACTGAGCGCAGCGCTTGTCAGCTGTCCAGGCAGCACAGCTAATGATTTCTTGCAAACGCTGCACACACGATTGTCCGCAGTTGAGAGAACCCGCAAATCGCTCCACTGGCTGGCCCCTCCTCTCCCCGCCCACTCACTCCTTACCTGGCACACGAGCCATCCTACTTGCCTGGTTTGGTAAGTTGCTATTTTTCCTTTTTTTCCCTCCAACCATCAGCTGTTCTGCTCTGCCAGGAGATTTAGATTAGCTAGAAAGCAGGGAATCTTTGGATTTCTTGCTTTCTAGCTAATCTAGAAGCAGAGCTGAACCTTCCTTAGGACTAAAGCTTTTCAGTGCAGACTCAGGTAGCCAATTGCAGATAGATAGATCTCTAAATTAATCTGTGATTCTGTGAGCAACTCAATCTGCCTGCCTGCTTTGCCTACTTTGGGGTAAAAGTTGCTCTTTTTAAATAAAAAAATGCAATATTTACATACATGGTGTGTTGTGAATTTTATGAGCTTGCTTGCAAGGAAATTTTATGTGACAGACTCAGGTAGCCGATTGTAGATAGATCTCTAAGTTAATCTGTGATTCTGTGAGCAACTCAATCTGCCTGCCTGCTTTACCTGCTTTGGGGTAGAAGTTGGGAGGAAAGGGTCAAGCTATTTTCTAAAGCTCCTGTAGGCCAGACAAGGAATAATAGATGGAAACTGAACAAGGAGAGATTTAACCTGGAAACAAGGAGAAACTTTCTGACAGTGAGAACAATCAACCAATGGAACACCATGCCCTCAGAAGTTGTGGGAGCGCCATCACTTGAGACTTTCAAGAAGAGATTGGACTGCCATTTGTCAGAAATGGTGTAGGTCTCCCGCTTGGGCAGAGGGTTGGACTAGATGACCTACAAGGTCCCTTCCAACTCTGATTATCTGTATCTGTATCTGTTCTTTTTTAATTAAAAAAATCAATATTTACATAAATATATTTACATACAAGCCATGCCCATCCAGTCACCAAGCCATGCCAATCAACAAGTCACTCCCACCCAGTCACATGACCACCAAGCCACACCCACAAATTAGACCACACCCACAGAACCGGTTGTTAAGAAATTTGAATCTCACCCCTGGAATCATCCATATCCCATATCAAATTCTCTTCCAGTTGAACCAGCAATCAAGAAAATTCTCACTCCACACAAATGGCTGTCCAATCTCTTTTTTAAAAAACTTCTATGGTGGAACACCCACAATTTCTGGAGGCAAACCATTGCACTGATTAATTATTTTCACTATTAGGGAAATCCTTCTTAATTATAAGTTAGATCTCTCTTTGATAATTTCCAGCCCTGTCTTGCCCTCAGGTACTTTGGGGAATAGCCTGACCTCCCCTTCTCTCTGATAGCCCCTCAAATATTGGAAGGCTGCTATCATGTCACCCCTAGTCCTTTTCTTTGTTAGACTAGACCAGGGGTGTCAAATTCAAGGCCTGTGAGCCAGATCCGGCCCATAGGGTGCTTAAATCTGACCCGTGGGGCCACCCTGGAAACGGAAAATGCTTGGGAGGGCTGCATATGTCTCCCGGGCTCCATTTTGGGCTGCAACAGCCTCCTGCAGTCCTCTGCCAACAAAAATGGAGCTCAGGGAGGCGATGTGCGGTTCGCCTGGGCTCCATTTTTGCTGGCAGAGGGTTACAGGAGGTGGGTACGGCCAAAACGGAGCCCTGGCAGGTCGCTCCCCAAGCTCTGTTTTTGCTGGCAGAGGGCTGCAGAAGGCCGTCACAGCCAAAAACAGAGCCTTAATGAGTGATATCACCCTGGCCATGCCCACCCCAGGCACGACTCATCCCGGGCATGCCCCCCCACCAGGCACAGCCTCCCCCCAGCCCCCAGGTCAAACACAATGCTGCTGTGGCCTTCATTGAAATCAAGTTTGATGCCCCAGGACTAGACATACCCAGTTCCTCCAACTGTTCATCGTATATTTTACGTTCCAAAAACCTTTTGGAATTCCTGTCCTCTGGAAGGAGCATGGCTTTTAAGAAAGCTTTAAGAAAAGACAAGAGATGTGTTGTGGTATATTACAAAACTGAAGAGCAAATTTTCTCCAATTAGGTTTACTGCATATATTAGATAGTCAGAACAAAACAACGTAAATTTTAGTATTTCTCCTGTTAGTAGCCAAATTAATTATTACTATAAAACATGAGAATATCTAAATATCTCAGTGGAATGAAGGTAAAATAAGATACTGTATATACTCGAGTATAAGCCTAGTTTTTCAGCCCATTTTTTGTGCTGAAAAAATCCCCCTCGGCTTATACTCGAGTCAGATTCCCCTCTGAAAAAAAAATGGTGTGGAGTCGCGGCCTCCGGCGGCAGCGACTCCCAACAGCCCCAGCCGGGAAGGGAAAGGCAAAAAGCGCTTTGCCTTTCCCTTCCCGAGGCGGCGGGACTGGGGCCGGGCCGGCGGTAGTGACTCCTGACTCAGGGGGCCTCCGAGGGAGGGGAAGAGAGTGACTCCTGCCTCCCGCTGTCATCATCATCATCTTCTTTTGGGTTAGTGAATCAATTAAACCTTTCATGATAGTGAGATCGTTTCCCAAATTAATTATTTTTATTTTTGAAATTTACCAGTAGCTGCTGCATTTCCCACCCTCGGCTTATACTCGAGTCAATAAGTTTTCCCAGTTTTTTTGTGTAAAATTAGGTGCCTCGGCTTATATTCGGGTCGACTTATACTCGAGTATATACGGTACGTTCCATAAGTGTTTTTTTTTTTAAATCCTGCTGCTTGACAATTGGCGGAATGGTGGGATTTTATTGTTTACACAAAATAAAAATACTCTTGTAACTGTAATAGACATTATGGTAAAGTTAAACATCATGCCAATTTTAAATTTAATAAATGTAATGTAAAAAATATTTTTCCCCAAAAAATCCCTGGATATAACTTGAAGGCTTTATCAGATTTTGTGACTATTCAAACAAATTGGTGGCAAATGTCGGAGAGGGAAGCTTAAGCTCTCACCCCCCCCCCCCCCCCCCCCCCCCCCCCCCCTCCCCCGCCCAATTTCCACATTGTGGGCATCCTTAAAACTGTGAAATGTATTGCCAATCTAGCCACTTTAAAAAGCAAATGGGGCAGGTTCCATGGAGGATGTGACTACTAGTAGGAATGGGTGTTTATGATCTCCTGGATTCTGGTTTGCACAATTAGCTGGGAAGCATAATGGGGCAGGGGTGCAGCCCTCTAATCCTGGTTTGCGTGCATCTCTTATGCATCCAGGTCTCTGCTGTATGATACAGAGAAAACCCAATAGGGCTCTTATGACCTGGTTCCCAATTTGGGCTGCACTGATTCTCATGATCGTTGGAGGGTTCTGCATCTTGGAAACACCATCTAAGCCTGTCCAGATTCCTTCAGTTTTCCATGAGAGCCAAGCCACGTTGTTGAGGTAATTCCCCGCTAGGAGAATGAGCGCACACAGGGAGACGTAGTGAGAGTGGTGAAGAATAACACACAACCAGCACACAGATACACTATAGTAAAATGTAGGCTTTTAATTCCAATAAATGTTTAAGCAAAGTCCAACAAGCAGTCCAATTCATTCACGGTTAAAGCAGTCATTTTTTAGTCCAGGGATAATCCAAATAACAAAGTCCAGTATCATAAACAGTTCAGTAAAAGACTCACATCATATCCAAGAATAACGAGGATCAGCAACAGTCAATAGGGAAATGCAGGAATGGCAACACTCACAGAACAACCCAGGTTTCTTGCTCCATCTTATGGCCGTTTGAGGAACCACACCCAATTACAATTTTAGCATTCCCTTAAAGAAACAGTATTAAAATGTCTATCCTGGTTTATATATCTAACACACGTGGTTTAATGTCCTAAAAGCCATGGTGGCTCAATGGTTATAATGCAGTATATTTCAGGCTGACTCTACCCACTGCCAGCAGTTTGATTCTGACCGGCTCAAGGTTGACTCAGCCTTCCATCCTTCCAATGTGGGTAAAATGAAGACCCAGAATGTTTGGGGGCAATATGCTGACTATGTAAACCGCTTAGTTTTAGTTTTTAGTTTATTTTATTGTCATTGCACCTCGTACAATGAAATTAAATGCCATGTTCAATGTATGTTATAACTGTAAAAATAAAACACACACATTCTTCACATTCTATACAATTGAATTGAAAACCCCTGATATTGCATTAATATTGCACTATACAGTAGAATTCAATATAGTTCCTGCTCTGGGATAGAAGCTGTTTTTCGGCCTATTTGTCCTTGTTTTTATTATCCTGTACCATCTGCCAGATGGTAATAAGTTCAAAAAAAGGGTGCCCAAGATAAGATGGATCTTTAAGAATGTTTTGAACTTTAAATTTAATTTAAATGTTAACTGTAATTTAAATGTTTTAGAGAGGGCTTCAAAGCACTATGAAGTGGTACGTAAGTCTAAGTGCTATTGTATCCCAAAGGTGCTTTTTCAAGAGGCAAGTGCGCTTTTTAATCTTTTATTTGAAGATGTTTCGCTTCTCATCCAAGAAGCTTCTTCAGCTCTGACAGGATAGTGGGGAATGGAAAGATTTATGTAGCTGGTAATCTGCATGCTTTTAGAGCAGGGGTCTTCAAACTTCACAGCTTTAAGACTTGTGGACTTCAACTCCCAGAATTCTTCCTCCAGTCATGTTAACTCAGGAATTCTGGGAGTTGAAGTCCACAAGTCTTAAACTGGCCAAGTTTGAAGACCCTTGCTTCAGAGGGTCGTTGAAGCATCTGTGTCCTCAGGGTCACCAGAGCAGTGCTCCAGATTTCTGTAGTCTGCAAATTTCTTACTCCCACCCCATCCAAAGGGTGTTCATTCCAAATTGAATAGCCAAAAGTCTGCAGAGATTCTCAATCATCCAGGTGATGGTTGTCCCAAAGGTGCTTGTTTTTTCTTTGAAGACGTTTCACTTCTCATCCCAGAAGCTTCTTCAACTCTGACAGGATAGTGGGGAAATGGAAGGATTTAGATTCCTTGCAGACCAGCTGGTCATTTGCATGCTTTTAGAGCAGGGGTCTTCAAACTTGACAGCTTTAAGACTTGTGGACTTCAACTCCCAGAATTCCTCCTCCAGTCATGTTAACTCAGGAATTCTGGGAGTTGAAGTCCACAAGTCTTAAACTGGCCAAGTTTGAAGACCCTTGTTTTAGAGGATCATTGAAGCACTCGGAGGTTTATCTGCGCCCTCAGGGTCACCAGAGCAGTGCTCCAGGTTGCTGTAGTCTGCAATTTTTTTTCCCCCTCTGGAAATGCATTCTTACTCCCACCCCATCCAAAGGGTATTCATTCTAAATTGCATAGCTAAAAAGTCTGTCAAGATTCTCAGTCATCCAGGTCATGGTTGTCCCAAAGGGGCTTTTTCAGGAGGATTCCTTGCTTTTTTCTTTTGAAGATGTTTCGTTTCTCATCCCAGAAGCTTCTTCAACTCTGACAGGATAGTGGGGGGTGGAAGGATTTAGATTCCTTGCAGACCAGCTGGTCATTTGCATCCTTTTAGAGGGTCGTTGACTGAGAAACTCCACAGACTTATCGCTATTTGCTATTCACCCCACCCCCCACCCCACCCCCGGCACCTCACCCACCCACCCAACCAACCAGCAGGCCGGGCCGCAGGACACGCAATCACGGCGAAGGCACCAGACTCTTCGGCCCAGCCTCCCTTCTGACGACGCTTTCCGTTCCCAACGAGCGCCGGTGGCTGAAAGGGGCGGGCTCGCTTTGCGGCAGCCTGATGCAATCGGCTTGCCTGTCCGCGTCAGAACCGCAGAGAGGAACGAGCTGCCGGGTGAGCCGCGCCCAGCCTTCCCTTTCCCAAAAGTCGCCATGTCGGAGGTCATCCTGGAGAAAACGGACAGGCTGAGCCTGGGTGAGTTTGCAAGGGGGCGGCCGAAGTGTATGTGTGTGTGTGGGGGGGAGAGGCCTGGCCTCCACCTCCTCGATGCTTCGGGCACGCGGAACCGAGCCCGGAGCCAAAATGCAAGGCGGGAGAACCGGGAAGCGAAAGGAAAACCTGACCCGGGGACCGGTGCAAATCGCCTCTCACCTTTGGGAATTACAAGTCCCAGCATTCCCTGCCAGCCCGGGCCTCCGAGCAGCAGCTTGCAAAAAAACTGCCGCAGCCCTCATGGCGTGTTGGAAAAGGACAATCGCGATCCACGGCCGCTTCTTTTCCACGCGTTCTCGCCGGGGATATAAACGCGAGAGGAAGGAGCGGGAAGGCCTCCGTGGCTGCCACCTGGGTCCGGCCTCTTGCTTCTCCCCTATCCCCCCCTTTTTGAGGGGGGGCAAGGATCCCCCCTTCCCCCGCTGGATCACTTGATGGGAGAAAAACGGGGCATTGCAAAGGACGATTCGAGGAGAAATGTGCGGTGGCGTATCTGGGTCGCTTCTGGTTCCCCAATTCGGGAAGCAGCGCAAAACAGGCCATTCATTCATTCATTCATTCATTCATTTATTCGTTAGTTTTGTATTCCTTCTTTGGTGGAATTTCATAGATTCCCAATCGTGAACTGATCAAACCCATTTGCTTCTCAAAGGAAAGAAAAAGACTTTTTTTTTTTTATTTCTTAGTTGTGGGAAAGGAAACTGAACCTGGAACCCATCCTGGCTGGTGTTTTAACAATAAGTTTCATGATCACCTGGTTCCTTGGGTTTATGATGTGTCATTGCTTTGGTAGACAAAATGGAAGGATCTTAGAAGTCATTTACTCCAAATCCCGTTCTGGGTGCAGGTCCACTGACTGCTGACCACCAGCCTGTGCCTGAAGACTTTCAGAAAAGGACAGTTGGCTGATGTAATAGTTAGAAAGTTTCTCCTGGCTGCCTTCCCTACATTATTATCTCCCCCTTTTATGTGGCATTTGAAGGCAAATCTCATATGTTTCTTCAGTTATCTCTTCAGTAGGCCAGATGCGAGGATGAGGATGAGTCCTGTCCCAAAAATGCTTTTTCAGGAGGCAACTGGACTTTCTTGTTTTTTCTTTGAAGACCTTTTGCTTCTCCTCCAAGAAGCTTCTTCAGTTCTGACAGCTGACTGCAAGGAATATAAATCCTTATGTTCACCACTCTCTTGTCAGAGCTGAAGAAGCTTCTTGGATGAGAAGCGATATGTCTTCAAAAGAAAAAAAAAACCAAGAAAGTCCAATTGCCTCCTGAAAAAGCACCTTTGGGACAATCATGACCTGGATGACTGAAAACCTCTACAGACTTTTAGCTATACAATTTTGAATGAATGCCTTTGAAATGGTGTGGTAGTTAGAAATGGATTTCCAGAGAGAGAGAAAATTGCAGACTACAGGAACCAGGAGCACTACTACCCAGGTGGCCCTGAGGACACAGATATACCTCCAAGAGCTTCAATGTCCCTCTAAAACTGGGGTCTTCAAACTTGATAGCTTTAAGACTTGTGGACTTCAACTCCCAGAATTCCTCCTCCAGTCATGTTTGCTCAGGAATTCTGGGAGTTGAAGTCCACAAGTCTTAAACTGGCCAAGTTTGAAGACCCTTGCTCTAAAAGGATGCAAATGACCAGCTGTCTGCAAGGAATATAAATCCTTCCATCCCCCACTATCCTATCAGAGCTGAAGAAGCTTCTTGGGTGAGAAGTGAAATATCTTCAAAAGAAAAAAAACCCAACAAAGTCCAGTTGCCTCCTGAAAAAACACCTTTGGGACAACCATGACCTGGATGACTGAGGATTTCTTACAGACAATTCAGTCCTTGGCAATTCTCTAGGCCAAATATACTCAGACCCATTGACTATTCTTCAAAGAGCTTGAAGAAAAGTTTCTATTCATAGAGTTTGAGGGCTTACTGCACATCATCTTAGTAACCTTCTCAGATCTTGCCTCAGTTTGTCACTGTCCTTTTTGAATGATGGTACCCCAAACTGGACATAGTTGACCAGGGCAGAGTAGAGTAGAAGAATTGCTTTCTATAATCTGGATTCGCAACTCCTGTTAAGGCATTCCCAAAACCATATCAGCAGCTGCATCCCCACGACACTCAGAGCCCTTTCACGTGTACTACTTCAAGCCACATTTCCTCCATGCTAGGCAAGTGCCTTACATTTTTCTTACCCTATTGCCTTTCACTGTTGTGTTTTTGGTATCTCAGTGTATAGCAGTGGTAGTCAACAAGTGGGCGTTCCACCTTTCATGGTGGGCGGTAAGGGTTTTGTCCCCTACTTTATAAATCACCATTACTGTGGAACCGGTGGGTGGTTAGAGAAAACTTTATTACTAATAGAGATACAAAAGTGGGCGGTAGGTATAAAAAGGTTGACTAGCCCGGTCTATAGCCTACAGTCATGATGGCGAGCCTATGGCATGTATGCCAGAAGTGGCACACAAAGACATCTCTGCGGGCACACGAGCTGTCGCCCCAGCTCAGTTCCACTGCGCATGCGCGCACGCCTCCTGCCAGCCAGCTGATTTTGGGTTATCTGCCGTGCATGCATGGAGGGGGTGAGGCGATGTGGGAGACATGTGCGTGCATGCACAGGGGGCGGGGGGAGTGCAGAGGGTCCCATACGCATGTGTAGGGGGCGGCAGGAGCGGGTTGCGTGTGTATTGCGTTATGGGTGCAGGCATTTGTGCACGCTGTTGCATGCGTTCGCACGCACATTCACCACGCAACAACAAAAAGCTTAGCCATCACCGGCCTACAGCTTTGAAGGTTCATGGTTCTCTTCCATCAAGCCCTAATCATACCTGCTTGTGTTTGGCTGAACCAAGATAAAGTCAGCCTGGAGTTGCCCTCCGAAGAGATCTCAAACAAGCATGAGAATCTTTGCTTCCTTATAAATATCATTTTTTAAAGTTACATTTAATAAAGCCCCCAAAGCGAAAGCATGAGAGGTGAAGTTCAACAGCCACATTTGAATAGCAAACTTCGTAGATACAGGGAATTTATTTCTAATGGGTGGGTTTGCTTAGCAATTCTTCTGCACCTGCTTTCGCTGGAATCACCGATGATCTATTACATGGATTCTGGGAAGGAAGGAATATTAAGGATTCTGCTGAATCCCTGCAGCCTGTTGGTTTTATTTGCCCCTCCTGTGTGGAAAATACATAAAGAAAATGGCTAGGTGTCATGACCCTGGTGGAGACTGACTCTGAGGAAGAGGAGGAACAGCCAACGGGGAGTGGAAGTGTGGCTCCGGAGGTTGTGGAGGAGGCTGGGGAAGGGCAGAGGCCGGCTGAGCAGTCAGAGGAGGACCCAGGCCCATCCCCTATCCATCCTAGGGCATGCAGGGAGGAGAGGATCAGGGTAAAACGTGATCTACTTGGGAGGAGAGGGCCATGATCTTCTTCATTTGTTGCAGGTGTGAGATCTGCATAAAAGGTTACACCAGCTGATATACTTTGGGTCATCACACTAGGACATTTTCCTGTGGGCTCCTCTTCCACTTGGGATGTTCACTGGAAATTCAAGTTTTGCAATCAGAGGATGGAGGAAACTGATATTCACCTTTAAGAGGGGGATACAGAAGTGGTATTCAGCAGGTTCTGACCAGTTCTGGAGAACCGGTAGCGGGAATTTTGAGTAGTTTGGAAAACCAGCAAATCCCACCTCTGACTGGCCCCGCCCCCATCTATTCTAGTCCCAGTTGATTGGCTGGGTCTTCTGTTGCCCTGCACAGGAGAACGGAGCTGGAAAGAAGGTTACTGGGGTGGAGAGGGAACAGAAATTTTACAGTATCCTTCCCCTGCCACCCCCACCAAACCACCCCCCCACAGGACCTGTAGTAAAAAAAAATTGAATCCCACCACTGGTGGGTGGGTGGGGGATACGATAACATTTTTCCGGCACTTGAAAGGTCTGTACATGGAAGAAGATCAAGAGATCTTGATCTCATAGAAGAAGATCTTCTACGCTCTCCCCAAAGATAAAAGAAAACGGTCTTAATTTGCAGGAAATTTAAATGATTCCAGTTGCAGTTAGAAAAAAGGAGAATAAGCAATTTGACATTGGAATAAGCTACACAGTGAATTTGTGAACTCCACTTGGTGGGAAGGTTTTGAATTCTCTCTCTCTCTCTCCCCAGAAATGTCTTTAAAGCGGATTCTCACACAGGAGATGTTAGACCTGGTGGCCTTTATGGATCTTTTCATTCCCTGAATGTGCCAAAGCTTTGAATCCATTGGTGTCAAACGGGCAGGCTATCGAAGCCAGAGCTCTTCCCCAAATGCTGATGGACGTTACAGTTTGAAAAGGCCTGCTGATATTATAGGTCATGAAGTTGAATTCCTTGATTGGGAGAAGTTTAGTAGATTGCTTATTGCTTTGGTACACCTGAAAATCCAGAAGGTCAAATGGAGTCTGTTAAGTGCAAGTCATCATTTTCCTGCAGGGGCTCAGAAATGCATATTGTCGAGGTATATGCGTATGTTGTGGCTCCGGACTTGGATTCAGCTCCTGTGGCTGATATGAGCTCAAGTGAGGAGGACATGGCAGAGAAATATGAGCCAGCATGGCTCAGTGATTGGAATGATAATCAGGAAGAGGAGATGGACGTGACAAGAGAGGACAGACCTGATTTAGTAGAATGGTCAGGACCTTTGACCTCCTCTGGTTCAGTATCTGATCATCAGCCGGGAATGGCTGACGGAGAAGTTTTAAGAGAGTCTTCAAGTGGAGACGAGAACTTGGAGAATTGTTGGTTAGATGTTAGGAATAGACGCCACTTTAAGAGGCAAGGCCAGCTGGAACGCAGGAGAAGGTCAAGTCAGTAATTAAGGAAATTAACTGTTGCCCTAATAACTATAAAAGGATCCGCCTGAGTTTGAAAATTTGTCAGGAACAAAGCGTTTAATTTACGTGGAGAAGCAACGGTCAAAGCTCGGAGGCTTGTGGATTTAAGCCAGGATTAATGTGCTGTAGACTGTGAATAATAGCTGCTGTTATCTTCTGAAACTCCTCTTCGTTTGTTTTGCTTTTGAGGACGACTGCTTTCGGCGTTGCTTATTTGCTTTTGAAGGTGGGACATAACATGCGTATGTGTGTGTACTTTGTGCTTAGCCAAGAATATTTCTATTTGTATCCGCAGGAGAGGTTTATGTATCTGATCGAGTAGGATGTGACAGCACTGGTGATGGGACCCAGGATAAACCTTTCAAAACAGCTTTGCAGGTATCTTTTGAGTATTTCTGAAGCATCTGGGTAGTTTTCTTGGTACAAATCATCTTTTGATGATCCAGAATTTAGGATTTTTTATTTTTGATAATCCAGAATTTAGGATTTTTTTAAAAAGTTACGGTACTAAAATGAATATGTTCCTCTTGGCTTCTAGGGGCTCACTAAGAAAGGATTTTTCGAAATGACAATCAGAGCATTAGTATTTCGTTGTTTATTATTATTATTATTATTATTATTATTATTATTATTATTATTATT